GTATTATTACTTGTTAGACCCTGATCGCTTGATACCCCCACTACTAAAGGCATTATTACTTGTTAGACAATGATCGCTTGATACCCCCACTACTAAAGGCACTATTACTTGTTAGACAATGGTCGCTTGATATCCCCATTACTAAAAGCACTCTTGTTAGGCAATGATCACTGCTATGACACGAAAAATGTCTTATTTATATTAAAAGTTTACCTGAGGTGATTTAAACATCAAAATTAGTTATTTCCTGTTAGTTAATATTTAAGTTTGAGGTTAGCTGTGACAGAACTCAAACTTTAACAGCACCTTTCAAAACTTTTTTGTGTAAATTCCTCGACGTTATTGTTTTTTAGAATTTCAAAAAAAAATTCCAATGTTGAAGATTATTTTGGGTATTTATGTGATTAGCTCATGTAGAATTTGACACTTCATAAATAAATAAATAAGTACAACACACGTGGAAAATTAAAACATAATTTAACATTGTTTTTATACGCTATATCTCAGTTTTATGTTTTAATTAACTTATCTGTTTGATTTTAACGTTTATATAATTGCCGGAAGGTAGTGTAAGGGTTATTTTTTTATCATTGTGGATGATATTGTAATAATGCGAAAACAAACTGATGTAACCTCGACTGCAATGTTGTATTATATTGTTTATGTGTAAATATAAACGTTGATATTTGAATTACGAAGGTTTTGATTATTAATTTAATCGTAAAATAATTCATTATCATTCCTGGTGAATCCCTAATTGCCAAAACTTGTGATGTTTGTAATAACATCTAGATTCCTAAGTGCATAAGAAAAGCAAGGTGAGAGAACCCATCGAGCCCAATCCTCATAAAAAATAAAAAAACAAAAACACTAACGATAAAAATATTCTAGCTAATATTTATCAGAAACTTAATTGAACTCCTCATGCCTGTTCACCTTTCCAACAAAATGTTAGAAGAACTTAAACTAACAGCATAACCCACATCACCAGGAAAAACAATCCATAATTTCATAACTATAACAACAAATAAATAAAATTGTATAAGAACAATTCTGCGTCTGAAAATTAAACTTATTACACCTTATATTCAAGTTAACACTTTCAACCTGTTCGTTAAAAGCATACTAAAATAATTAGTTAAATAATAACTTCCCAAATGCGTTCCTGGATGACTTCTAACAACAAATTTTTAAAACATTGCTAACAATAAAAATCAGATTAATAAGCTTATAATTTCTCGAATTCTTCTTTGAAAACCCAACAGAGATTTCGTTGGCAATCTTCTTGTCATAATGAATTTTTATTTATGCCAAGATACTTCTGAAAAATAACAGGCAGAACTACCACAGTTTCTCTTCTAATCTTCTTCAAGGTTTGGGGCTAATATCCAGCTGTTTCAAAATAGCTACTTCTTCAAGGTTTGGGGCTAATGTCCAGCTGTTTTAAAATAGCTACTTCCTTCAAGGTTTGGAGCTAATGTCCAGCTGTTTTAAAATAGCTACTCCTTCAAGGTTTGGAGCTAATGTCCAGCTGTTTTAAAATAGCTACTTCTTCAAGGTTTGGGGCTAATGTCCAGCTGTTTTAAAATAGCTACTTCTTCAAGGTTTGGGGCTAATGTCCAGCTGTTTTAAAATAGCTACTTCTTCAACATGGATATCATTTATGTAGAAGTATTCCCATCTTTAAAGAAAGTGGTCAGCTTGAAAATCTCTTCAGTTCCTTCGGCCAAGTGGTTAGGAAGTTCGGGTCACGGGTTTGAATCCCCGTCCCTTCAAACATGCTCGCCCTTTCAGCCGTGGGGCGTTATAATGTGACGATCAATCCCACTATTCGTCAGTAAAAGTGTAGCCCAAGAGTGGGAGGTGATGACTAGCTGCCTTCCCTCTAGTCTTAAACTGCTAAATTAGGGACGGCTAGCACAGATAGCTCTTGTGTAGCTTTGCGCGAACTTCCAAATAAAACAAACCCCCATCCCCCTTTATATCATTGAAACAGAATGGGGAACCCAAAACAAAACAAACAAATAATTTCCTTCGTCGGCAAAAACATTAGCAAAAATGTTGTTTAGTCATGTTTTTCTTTTTCCGTATTGATATTCCCTTCAAACGTTGTTAATGGGTCAATATTATTATTAATGAATCATTTTTACAGTTAACGATAGCATAAAAACACTCAAGTTAAATTTGAGACAAGAAACATAAATAATCCCTATTAATATATATATTTTCTTTTTTTATCTATAGAAAGCTCAGCGCTCACCATTTTACAAGCGAATTTCATAGTTTTATAAATTAAGATTTATTTTTAAATCAAAAAGTTAATTCCACTGTTCATTAGCTTGGGAAAGAGTTTTCTGTTGGGATGTAAATTTTAGCCACCCAATCTCTCTCAACTATTCTGCAGCTTTCGGAAATCTACTTTTCTAAAATCAAGGAAGTGGGTTTTAGTGAGCTACAACTGATTTCAATATAAATATAACGTTACTTGTGTTCAAATATACTTCCTTTTCATTTTCAACCATATCCTACTCCAGCAGTCTAAGATGATACTTTCGATAGACTAGGATCTTTCACGTACTGTGTGACAAACAATCCCTCACCACCTCGCCCCCCCCCCAGTAGCACAGTGGTATGTCTGCGGACTTACAACGCTAGAAACCGAGTTTCGATACCCGTGGTGGGCAGAGCACAGATAGCTCATTGTGTAGCTTTGTGTTTAACTTCAAACAAACAAACACAAAAACCCTCACAGTCTCAGCAAAACCTTCAGCTTCATGCGAAGAAAACAGATCAACCCAGTTATTTTGCTATTTGTTCTATAAGTAAAAGCGCATTTCTTTTTGGCAGCATAAGCCATCTGCTGTGCATATTCCTGTTAGGCTAGTTTTAGAAAACACCAGTGAGTAACATTTCCTTTATTTCAGGAAATACGACCTAAACATTCTCCATCTTGTTTATTTTTTGTCAACCTTAGTGATATTGCTTTCATTGCACTTCTAACAATTAAAATTACCCTTTCCACTGCTTCATTATCACGGATTCTACGAAAAAAGACCTTAAAACCTTCTAAAATAACATCTTCATAGTTTTTACCTACCAACATTAAACACCAAACACATCCAGTTCAGGATCATGCATAAAAAAATATTTTCAACAGTTCTATTGGCTGCCATTTTTGAAGCCAAACGTCTTCAAATTTGCATACCACGAGTTAGAACTGCGAAATATAAAGGAGATAGTTGGTTGGTTGTTTTGGATATTTGAGCAAACCTACCCTAATTTTGAAGTGATACACTAGATGGGAGGAAGACAGTCAATAGTATTCACTGTCAACTCTTGGATTACTGTAACTGAATAGTGGAACTTGACTGCCGCTCTTATACCACACCCACCGCCCCTATGTGCAAATCGTGACTCTACGTTTACAAGACACAAACCATGAACCCTCACATTCACAGTTCAGCACGCTAACCACCAGGCCACTCTCGGTCCGGAATAAATGAGTGGATTTAGTTTATAGGATAGAGTTTGAGCCATTTAATATTGAATAGAGAGTTACAATGTCTGCATTGCTATGTTCTACATTACGAGGAGGCCAGTAAAAGACGGATTAGATTGAATATCTAGATCTGTCAGTACAAGTGAACTATTGTCAAGATAACTAGCATGTGAATTAAATAGAACAAACAAGAAATAACATCACTTTCTAATGAAGTTAAAATGACGATCGAAAAGACACATAGATAACGAGAAGGAAATTAAAAGACACTGACGCGTTTTCAACAGATGCAAACTTAATCCCCTCAATGCAAAAAATAAAATATCAAATAAACAGAATGACAACTGGATGAATCACAGAGTGCAATCTTGTACTACCTTGTGCTCTATTCAATTTAGATGAAAAATGATTTATCTCCTTGATCTGAAATAAATTTCATACTAATTGTTTGTAATAGATGTAAAAGGCAAATGTACAATAGTGTTTTTTGTTTACACAGAACAAATCTTATGTAACTCGAAAATAAGAGCTAAATGTATCAAAGCAAGGGTTTCATTTAAATTACAAAACTGTGAATTTCTTAATCGCATTTTAAATTTTAAAAAGCATTATCATGAAATGAAGTGCTTTTGTGTAGAGTTTAATATTGTCATTGGTGGCTTTTTAGTACGTTTTAGATATATAGCCCCTAGAAATGTTCAGGTTATATTTTACTGTTGTTAATTCCGAAGAACCAATTATGATTAGCAAGTTTCTTAAATTAGTTAAATCAAGGTAGGGATCACAGTTAAATGAATTATATCAAAAGTTTGAATGTTGAAAATTTTATACGACTGTTGCACCAGGAGTAAACTTATACGAACGTATAATACTAATAATTAGGGATATATAAAACAAATAACTTGTGAGGTGGTGAATGGAAATATAACATGTATTAGTTTCAAGACTGTATAGCAATATTTAAAAAGGAAAACGAAACGAAACAAATATTACAATAAAGTTAGATCAAAGAAAGCACAATATATATATATATATATATATATTAATTTTCTTATGATTTTAGTGATTTTTCAACTACTTAATCCAAGTTTTTTGTTATTTTCACAACGCGTATTATTCGTTTTTCATCGAATACAATAAGTAATTTTATAAGTAGGTTTAGATATGGAATGCTATCATGACGGTTAATGACGATATATTCATAATCAATATACTGCATCCCAGCCGACCTGAAGAGCTTTTGTATTGAGTAAAATGCGTCCTCGACAATAGCTCTGACGGACATGGTGTTGTTGACATACTATATTACACACTCTTCTTGAAAACCCCTAAGGGACAGAATAAGGAACGTAGTGTTAAAAAAGCATAACAGGCCTGGTACTAATGTCTTTGGTCTTTCTTAGGTTAAAATATCCATCGCTTGTTTTTATTATCCTGGTACGAGTTTAAAAGTATGGGTTCCCCAATGGTTCATCGGTACGTTTATGGACTTACAACGCTAAAATCCAGGGCTCGATTTCCCGTGGTGAACAGAAGGCAGATGCTCCATTATGTAGCTTTCTGATAAAACAAATTAAAAGTGCATAGCTAATAACATATCAACGTACTTCCAAAGTATATTAGCAATAACATGTTGTAGTATTTGAATCATTGACGGTGGGTTGGCAATTATTTTGATTGCATTGAATAATGAACAAACTGAAGTCTTAATAAAATGTATATAAAATATGTGCAACCATAATCATCTTTTATTTCCATAAAATTGTATAAAATATAATGTTTATTATATATAATGTAGACGATTTCAGTTTATTGCTCACTGTATCTCCAGAGAAATAAGCAATACAAATTTGCAAGACATCTAAAAATGAATTGTGGGCTCAATGTCCAAGTGACAAAGAATTCTTATCATACAAAACACAAACACGCAAAAATCCCAAGAAACTTACGTTTCCTTTAACGATTTTGATGCTTGGTTACTGATAAAATATTAATTAATATTATCTACTAATATATTAGCTTAAAATTATTTTTGCTGCAAAATTCTTAGTAGTACATTATTAAATATAAGTACATATAATATATCTTCAAGAAATGTGTCTCCAGTGGGACAGAAGTAAGTTTACTGAATTATAACCCTAAAATCCGAGGTTCAATTCCCCGTGGTGGATACAGCAGATAACTCAGTGTGG